TGATCTCCATTGCTCTAGGTACAACATGCCCTTCCTCAAAAACTTTCAGCTGTCCCCTACTGCCCACACAGACGACTCTTAATCCCCAGTACAGCTTTCAATGCCCTCTAATACGAGGTCTCTATTCACTTAACTATACCTTGAACTTTCTCACCCCCTGTTTTTGCTTACAGTCATCTTGGTCAGATCTATCTTCTCTGTTGAAATCCTGCCCATCTTTCAAGACCTTGCTTGAATACCATCCTTTCTATGATCTACTCTCCATGCCTACTACTGCCATGAAATCCCAACGTCTTCTTCAAGAGCTAATTTCTCAGTCTTATGTATTTCTATGTCACTTCTGTTTGTTTCTCTCTTCCAAAAATTACTATATTTTGCTCTTAATTAAAAATTTTAGATATATAGCTTTGGTTAAATCACTCATTCACAGTGAAAATAATTTGTGGCCATGAGAAACAGTAATTTTGGTGAAGGTCTTCAAAATGTAATTCAAAAACGATCGAACACTATACAAATGTAAAATAGTCTTATTACTTTATTTTTATCCTGTGAATGAACATTTGGTTGACTTTCATAGAATGGTCATTCTTAGTTACATTACTTGGCAAAAGCAGGCCAATGAGACCTTAAATGGCATACTTTATACTTTACGTACTTTAAATGAGTGAATTTTATGCTATAATTATAAAATTATAAATTATATCACTATAAAGCTGTACACTAGAAAATAACAGGTTAAATATCTGTACAGTTGGGTCAGTAGGTTTATTCTGCCCCACTACCATGAATAGCACAGCTAACTCTGGCCAATAAGCCCAGACATGCATACGTCTCTGGTTCTAAGCAAGAATAGATGAATGAATCAATAAAAATCCATTCACCTGGATCGTCTCTCCTCTGAAATAGGGTCCCCATTAGAGAGCAGAGAAAGAACGAGGCCAGCAGGTGGCTCATAGCAAGGTGTGGTGGGAATGGAGTCCTTTGTGAAATCAGAAAATAGGTTACAACAGGTGTGGATGAAAAAAGATGAAAGTGACTTAAAGAATACGAAGGTCTCAAGGATTTTATATCAGAAAATTTCATGAAATATTGAATTTTAGATGAATTTTAACATTTCATATGAATATTTTAGATCAAATGCTATTCTAAAAAATGAAGGAAAAGCTTAGAGTGCCTCTGAAGACAAATATCCTCTTTGCCACCTATGACTTTATAGTTCCCTTTGGTGATCTGCTGTTTAATGACTGTTAAAGAGCAGAACTAAGTTTAAACAAATTATGAGAGATGTCGGCTTTGGGTTTGCTCCTTTTATTTTCTTTTTCTGTTTTCACATTACTCTAGGGCACCCAATATATTTAGTCACCTCTCAAAAGAAAATGCTCAACCTACTGACCCATTCCTCTCAGGGCCTTTCTCCCCAACAAATTATACTACTCTGAGTGAATCAATAGACTTAGTCAGTCTCTCTCTCTCTCTCTCTCTCTCTCTCTCTCTCAGACACACACACACACACACACATGAGAAAAAGGCTAATAGAGGTGGATCTAGCATCTCTCCCGGTAGAAAAGGCTTTAAGACAAAGGATGAATTTCCAATTATAAAATTACAGCCATACAGGAAGGGGTGAGGAATATCCTCCTACTGTTTTCCCTACCCTCCATGTCAAGAAAGTCATAAAGGCATAAAGCAATTTCTACCTGTTTTGCCTGTTCATAAAGTGTAATACTTACCAAAGAACCCAGTGCACTCTCAAGCTACGTAATAATTGCAAAGGTTGTTTACATTTACATTTTAAATGTAAATATCTAGAGTGGAAAATATGTCTTTTTGATCTGGGAGTAGGGCAATATA